GTTTCCTCTCATGAAAAGAGGAATTTCCAAAATGATTAAGGTGGAGTTTACACTGAAAGCAGTAGGGATTCAATTGCTTCATGTATAATAAATGCAATTTATCCTCCCTAAAACTATATCACTTTGAATATATTAAATATGCTGCTGACTGCATGTCTTTTTCACACTGTATTATTCACTGTATTTTTTTTCAGACAAACCCACCTGCTACTGATAGTAAGAGATATTCCACCATAGGAAACCGATTCCCTGCCAGTCTGTTACCATTCACCAACTTCATTAGGCAATATTCCTGTTTGGGGATAGAAAGATCTGGTTTGTTTTTCTGCATCACAGCTGCCAATTTAAAAAAAAAAAACTTTTTAAAAGAAATCATGGACAATTTTCATGTTTAGTGGAAAAATCTAATGTTTTGATCAAAATGGCATTTAAAATGGTTCCTAAGTTTCCATTTACCAAAAATATAAGCTTTTGGAAAATGAGAAATTTTAACTACAGAGTTTTGGGGGTGGAAATGGACTCACTTCAAACCCTTTGCCACAAAAACAACTCAGAATTTGTTTTCACAAAGTCGGTATTTCATTTTGTCAAACAACACTAGATACAACACAATAATGGGCTGACAGTGATACAACACAGACCGGTTTTCCCTGGGTGGATGATACATAACCTCGTTCTAATTATGTTACAGATCCATGCATTGCTTTATGCAGGACTGTAGGTATAAACCAAGGTTCTAACATTCTTCTGTAACAGGAGTTGGCCCCGTAGACTCGCAGCTCATTACTAGACATATTTTGCTGTAGGCCCATAGATTACCTAACAGGGACATACATTGTGAAAGGAGTGGTATAGTCAGTAAGGTAGAATTTGGTCATCTGGCATGTTATAAGTGTTCTGAGATTACCCAAAAACATTCAACAGAACAATCTGTGACTGAATCTTAGATTCTATATTGCCAGATCACTGCATTGACACCATAACCAGTGCTGAAGGAATAGTCAATATTCCCTCCCCTTCTGTTATTTATCAAGTCCTGGGTTACCTGGGTCTTTGCAGTCATGAAGGATCCAGAAGAGCTGGAGTAGGCAGGAGACAAGTGCAGTAAATCAGTAGCTATTGTAGGAGAGGTGATTTTAAAAAGCCAACCTCCTCCCCACCAGGCCTTGTGGAAGAAACTTTGTCTCCAGAACTTAGCTCCACAATCTTCAGTTGTCTCCTTGCAACAGATCAGCAAGAAGGTGAAACAGCCCTGAATTTCCAGGATACTACATCATCCCCAAAAGGATTATCCTTCCCCTTCTTCAGCAACGGAGGTACTATCTCCACCCACGTGGTTTAGATGATTCATTGCAGCTTAACTTCCCCCCCACACACACACACACTTGCTCTCTCACAAGCCAAAAAAACCCTTCTCTTACTAAATGAAGATGAAGCCTCTGAATGCTGTCCATTTTTCATAAATTATTTGTGAGCTCTAGGCTTTCGTGTCGGCGGGGTATGTCTGTGGTGCTTGCGGGCAATTGATTGCCTCCCTTGCGTTCCAGGGAGCAATTTGATTATGATATAATTAAGCCTGACAAGGTTATCAGATGACCCTCTGCAAAATTGTGAAGCACTTTCTGTCTTTGGCAAGTTAGATAAATGAAGCTTTTTCTGGGAGCAGCACAGCAAACCAGCATGGAGAAAATGCCAAAGGGATACCAATGGCTCGATGCCATATGTAAGGAGAGAGGCACAAGTCCGACTCCTTTCCAACGCATGCCCCATTGCCTCCATCATTCACACCCCTCAGACTGCTGGGGCACTAACTTTGGTATGTTAGTTTATGATTCTTTTTGAGGTATGCATTTTCACATACAGGTTGAACGTCTCTAGTCTGGCACCTTGGGACCTGACCGGTGCCAAACCAGAGAATCTGCTGGACCGTGGGAGGTCAGTATTGTCTAGCAGCATGACCAACACTTCCAGTGCTTACTGGGCTCTTAGAAGACATTTAGGGGTGAATTAGAGCTAAATTATAGCACAGAACGCTGACAGCCGGGACTGGTGGCTGTAAATAAACTTTATGGGACTGTGGGAAACTTGGTTGCACCCATGCTAAGTGCACATCCAGCTGACTAAAATCATGCCGGACCATGGAGGTTGCTGGACCTGAGAGTGCTGGACAAGTGAGGTTCAACCTGTACTTTGTTCAGAGTCACTTATGTTCCAGTTTCCAACCATCTTTCTGCAGTGGATATTGTTTTATAAATGGACAGCTGTAGCCTACCCATAGAAGTGATAATGCTTAAGCTGTAGAATGTGGTGGTGGTATGAAATTTTTCTCCAGGGGATAAACTAGAGACTTGGCTTTGAGAAGGAAAGTTCTCCTCTGCCAGCCTATGGGAGGAAGGTTGCATCACGCACGGAAGGCTCCCAGCAGGGTTGGCTCTAGAGAAACATTGTTCATGCTGGTTTGAGTGGCAAGCAATAGGACTTTCATGGTGGCATGGCCACCATGTCTCGGTCCAGTACCAAATCTGTCAAGCTGACAACTTAGTCCCAAGCCACCATGTGAGCCAATGGCATAGCAGTCTACTATGCACCAACTTGCCACTGTGCACCAGGCCTGCTGATGGGGGCGGGGGGAAGGGGGCAATTGCCCCAGGGCCTGGAGATTCAAAGGGACCTGGAGCTCCTGGCCACTGCCTCTGCTGCTGTGGCAGCAGCAATGGCTGGCGCCCTGGGCTCCTTTGAATTGATGCCAGAGCGCAAGAGTGCTGCTTTGCATGGCTCTGAGGGCTGCAGGGGGAAGGGGCAGGGAAGTGTGCTGTGGTCTGGGCAGTGCTAAGGGCTGACTGCCCATACCCTTGTCCCCTCTGCCCAAGGCTCCACTCCACGATGCCTGCCCTGATGGCTGTGCTCAGTGTTTTGTGATCTCTGCTGCCCTGCAGGCATGCACCCCTCTCCCCTTTAAAGCTGCAGGAAGTATCTGACAGCTGAATGAGCTTCTCCCTTTGGGGAACAAAGAACAAAGCATTGGAATGCTCCTGCCTGTTCTGCCCTGCTAGGAACACAGCGGCAGGCAGACTGCTGCTGCAGGGGGAAGGATGGAGAGACTACTGTGCTGCTTTGACATTCCTCAGCACCAAGAGCTCATAGAGCTAGGAAGGAATCCCAAGAAGCGCAGGAATCAGTTCTGCTTTCCCACAACACTGCACTGGGGGATGCTCACCCCCCATTGCTTCGCTTTACCTGTCAGTAGGGGAGCTAGCAATGTGGCAATGAAATGTCGGTAATATGAGGCAGAAATACTGGCTTGACCAATTTTCCCTTTTGCCGACTTTTGCATGTCCACAACACTTGTGTCACCGAATCTTCCCAGTGTAGACATAGCCTAAGATTTTGTGCTGGCAGATCACCAACTGGTGGTTCTTGGGACCTTAGCTACAGTGACAGCAGCACAGTATATCACACATACAGGCCTGGCTACAGTACTTATATTGTCATTTTAATGGCTGGCTCATAAATCTGCAGACTTGCCAATAGTCACGGGGTGTTTGGAAGGAGATGGTGATCATTGCTCGGAAGGCACCTCATTTACATAGAGCCAGAGATCATACTGAGAGCAGCTCTCTGGCACGGTTGAGTCCAGCAGCTCTGACGGACATTTTTTATCTCTGAACTTTGTTTTCTCTTTGGGAGGAACAGGGAAGGTTTGTTTCTGTGCACTTGCAGGTCTCTATGGAGTCAAAACAAACTCCCCAGACTCGGGGTAAGTCCAGGAGCCGCTGTCAGCCAGGAAAGTGCCGGTTTGGGAAAGGAACGCAAGATTGACTGACATTAGTCTGCGCTGTGCTCATACTCCTTTCACAACCTTCTCAGGTTGAGGGGCCAAGGCAATGAACGCGTGTACTCGGAGTCCACAGTAAAGGTCCCTGTAGAGCTATTCTACACACAGACTTGGCCTAAAATTACAAAGTCAGTTTTTTAACTCACTGATTTTGGACTCAAAGTGTTTTGTTCTCAAATCAGTGACCACACACAGCCTTGCACAGACTTTGTGTGTAGACCACCCTTAGTGCCCACATGATCAGTAAGGTGTCCATACCTAGAATGGGCATGTTTCACAGTACTGTCTCAATGGGGTTGCCAGCACTTCCTCCACACGGGCTTTATTCTCCTATGTGCATAACTTGGTTTTAATACTCTAAAGATGGCCAAATTTCTTATTGGTTGTGAATTTAGCCCTGTCCTCAGCAAGTAAACTTTCCCATACTGAATCTCCTATATCCAGAAAGAGATGACTAGATCTCCCATCGACTCCAGCTACTCTTTGCATCTTGGTGGCACACCGGCATCAATGGGAGTGTGCTTGGAGAACCATTCATCACATCTACACTGCAGCCTCAATCCATCTTATAGTGTAGACAAGGCCTCAGATTAATCTAATGGCCTATGTGTGGAAATCAATGTCAGTGAAAAGGCAGAAACAATTGAAACTTGTCAGATGGGCAAAATTCTTGGCATATAATTGAGTGCCCTTAAATA